ATGCTTTTAAAAACTGCGCATGCCGCATGCAATGGCGACAGACTGCATACATTTTTAATATCCATAGACAACGCTTAAAAAGCCTGTACAAGCTACCATTTTAGATTTACAGAGGAGGTCTAGTGCTAGAATTAGTGCCCTTGATCTAACGGTCGCAGTGATACCTCACATGCATGGTGCAACTGCTGTTTACATACTGGCATGGAGTCAACGCTTGCTCACGTGGGGAGGGTGCTTTTATTTTATTTTTTTAAGTTATTTTGATTTTTTTAATTATTCTTACATTGTCTCTTATTTTTTTTATCACTTTTAATGCTATAACAGGGAATGCAAATAGCCCCTATACCTTCAATGCACATTGTCATATATTCTTTTTTGAGAAATCTGGAGTCTATCAGACTCTAGGGGGTTTATTTACTAAAGCTGGAGAGTCCAAAATCAGACTCCCTTCTGCATAGAAACCAATCAGCTTCTAACCTCAGCTTGTTCAATGAAGCTTTGGCAATGAAACCTGGAAGGTGATTGGTTTCTATGCAGAAGGGAGTCTGATTTTGGACTCTCCAGCTTTAGTAAATAAACCCCTAGATGTCTCCTCTGCCCTTACATTATCTCATCTCACCAAGATCGGTGTGATCAGATGCTTTCCCAATTTACAAATGGTGCTGTTTATATCCTGCGAAACTGAAGTGATGAAATGCTTGTAGCTTCTGATTTCTTAGACTATAGAGATGATTGGTGCCATTTTGGTCTCCAATCAGCTGTATGGTCCGATGGCAGAAACTCCAGCTGCATTCTCTGGTTCCCTCCGATGGCACGGGACTGGCCAAGAAGGCCGTGGAAGGAAGTGGTGGAGGGGTTCATCTTCTCCCGCTGCTTCTAAAAGCAATCATGCAGCTAATTAGCCACTAGGATTGCTTTTACATAAAAGCCAATCCCTGGCTGAAAAAAACGATACCAGGATGATGCCTGCAGCTGTAGGCATCATCCTGGTAGTAGAACCACAGAAAGTCCAGTGATGTACCAGTACGTCGCTGGTCCTTATTGGGTGTATATGCCATGTTCTTTTTTTCTTGTGTGGGCACATATGAAATGTGCCAAAAAAAATATATAAAATATATATATATGCTGAAGCATAGGGGCCTTTTACCCACTGGCCACCCCAGGCCCCCATGCTTCAGCATATATGCTCTTTTTTTTAACTGCCGATCAAAAATCTCATCCAACAGCGTTGCCCACACTGAGTTATGTATATTCTGAGAGCACGTTTCTGTTGCTGTCAGAATAAATAGGTTGGTGCTGCAGCTGAATGGCATTCCTGCAAAGAAAACAGCAATGGTTAACAATAAACCAGTAAAATTGTAACAGTAGAACAGTAACAACAAGAAAAACTATAACTATTTTTGGTAGTTAAAAATGTTTAATTTTGGGGGGGATTTGTACTTTTTTTTTTTTTAACTTTGTAAAACCGATTGTAGGGTCTCTCCAAATGCGATAGCCAGTTTCCTGACTACCCAACGTCGTTCGAAACCCTGTGAAAATATGTGCCCTTAACTGTGCCATGCTGTACCCTATACTAATACTCCACTAGTGTGTGGTAACAACGGAAGCAGTCCTTGAGGCAGAGACCAGGTTGGTCAGGACAGGAGGAACAAAAAAAGCATGTCTCACACCTAATTCCATGTCTGCTACAGACACAACATCTTTTTTGGGGTGTCCTTTGGGTTAGGGTACCATGAATGTAATCGGGAAAATGCCTCTCTTGCAGCCAGCTAACTGCATCTGGGTTGGGGGTTTGGGCCACAGCACCTTCTGGATACAAGGGCTGTGATGATCTATTCCTGGAATTTTAGGAAGGATCCACTTTGTCCAATTGCTTTGTAAAGCACAAAATATATAGAGCCAATTGAAATAGGTAAACTGACACTTTTTTGTACCAGCGTCTGGCTTTTCGGGAAGCTAAGTATGGCTTCATCATCTGGTCGTTGAAGTCCACCCCTCCCATGTCTAAGGTTATAGTCGTGGACACAGTGGGGCTTCTCAACAACACCAGCTGCTGTGGCAATTTGGATGGTCGTGTCTGCGTGAATGGAAGACAGGACAAAAACATCCCATTTGTCCTTCCACTTCACTGTGAGCAATTCCTCATTTCTCAAGCAAGCTTTTTTCCCCCTTTCTAAGACGGTTATTTGCAAGCCATTGGGGGAAGCCCCGGCAATTAGGTCGCATGGTGCCACATGCACCAATTCCAAGATTGTACAAATGTCTAAATAGTGGCAGGCTTGAATAAAAATTGTCCACGTATAAGTGGTACCCCATATGGAAAAAGGATGACACCAAGTCAAGTATAAACATCTGCAAATTTTTGGTTAAGGTGATTTACGAGGTGCCGAATTTTGTGGAGCCGGTCAAATTCAGGGTCACCCCAAGGACGACAGAGTGTGTTGTCATTTGAAATGCATAAAAACGCATTATACGCTCATATCTATGCCTGGCCATGGCAGCAGAGAACACGGCATATGATAAATCGGGTCTGTGGACCAATACAAACGCAATTCATTTTTTTTTAGTAATGCCATTGTTGAGGGTTAGGCCCAAAAACGTTAAATTCGGAAACCGTAATGGGTTTCCATGCGAATGGTCTGGCAAGGTTTGAATTTGGGTTGGCGGTGATAAACTGTTGTGCATATAAATTGCTTTGATCCACAATCAATGCATACAGATCATCTGTGAAAAGCAGCTACAAAAAATCAAGGAGAGTGTTTAAATTTGCTGTTTCCACTTGAATTCTGAGTTGGGCAGTGAATGGGGGAAGTACGGGTGCTGCAGAATTTGTGGGATGCCAATCGGGATTTGCAAGCACATCCGGAAGGATACTAGGAGCTCTACGGGCCTGTGTGCGAATTCTTGGTGGCTGCGGGTCACTACTTGTGCTCATCACCGCACCAGCTTGTACTGCACTTATGGGACTCGCCATGTCACCAAGTGATACTGCACTGCTGGTATGTATAAGACCAAGATGTACTAGGCCGCTGGTGCTCGCCAGTTCACCAAAAGGTAGAGCGGCACTAGTACTGGCACTCTGCTGCATATGAGTCATCATGCGTTTGTAACATCTCAGCAACCTGGGAATGGGGTCGGGTACGCCTGATCTTAGGAGGTACCTCTTCTCCATCGTCTGAGCTATCTGTCAGGGTGCCGCTGCTGTCTATAGGTTCATATTCTGAGGCTGATTGTGTCAGGGAGTCTTCCCTTTTCTCTATCTCCTGACATGCTCAGAATCCTGTAGGCGTCTTCACTATAGTACCTTTCCATTGACATTTTGGCCACTAAATTTATAGGTACCTAGTGCGACTCATAGGGAATAAAAGCACCTGGCTGTCAGGGACTGCTTGAAATGCTACAAAAAAATTTACTGGCAAGTGCTAACAGAGATCAGGCCTGATTCTGCAAACACTGCGGTTTTGTATGCATTGTATCAAGTGACCGTGACCTACTGACACTGCATTTGCTGGGGGAGGGGATAAGCATAGGCGCTAACCGCAGGTGCCGGGGCTGATCCCGCTAACACTGAAATTTTGGGGACACTATACTAATGTGAACTCTGGTATAGTTCTGATCTGATCCGATCAGACACTATACTAGCAATGGAGCTTTGTGTATGTGAGCGTGTTCCTGGCAATCAAGAGGTTAAATGTGATTTCTGGTATACTGACAGGCAATCGGACGCTATCTGGGAAGGGCGCTAACTGGCACGCTATCTGAAGTCGCTGGCAACACTAGTACAGTGATCAGCAAAAAATCTGTACACTGTACTAATGACACTGGTGACCGGTCAGTGAAGGGGTTAACTGGGGGAGGGGCAGTCAAGGGGTGAAATGTGTACTAGAGTGTTCTAACTGGAAAAGTGTAGTGCTTTTACTCACATGTGTCTTGATTTCTTCTCTCTCTGGGACGGAATGTGCCCAGAGAGAGAAGCTGTCTTCCTGTACCTGTGTAGTAACTGTAAACACAGGTACAGGAAGATCCCTGATGGGACAAGGATCGATTATCCGACTTAGGCCAGACATCACTGGCCTAAATCGAATGATTGATCCCTCGAACTGCGGTGCCGTGCCCCCTGGGCCTGCAGAAACTGCAGGAGCGTGAATCACGTGTATATATATGTAATTTTGCGCACCCGTGCCACCCTGTAGCAGTATTTCTTCTATAGGGCGGTGCAAAAGTGGTTAAAATCCGTGCAATGTGCTTGAATCATCCAGAGGGGAATTTTTTTTGCTTTTGTTTGTTTTTTGTTTTTTTCCAACAAAAATGAAGTTACTCTATAAAGTAGAACTATGGCCTCCCATGTAGCTTGCACTACAGCGGGAAAAGATATTGAGAAGTTGTTGCAGGGGATGTGGATACCATCATTGTCATTGCTGATTCTCAACCCTGTATTTGGCCGCACCAAGTCCCGCCCACTGCTTTTTGGATTGACAGCGCTGCCTTGGCTGTCTTCCATTGTGCATCACAAAGTAACTAAATTTGGGACTTGTTTAGTTGGTCATGCAATTGCCTTTTAGTTGTACTTTAAAGCTGGACTGCAGGCAGTTATAAAATACACCAGTTGCATATAAAAGAACCTGTTAATAATTTATTAAATACTTGGCTGTGTTCATTTTTTGTATTTTCCTGAATTTCAGTTGCAATCCCCTCTGCTCAGACTGAGTAATTCAGCATTCAACATCAGTTGTGCTGACATAAATCAACACATGGAGGGTTAGGGGTGGGGGATGGGATGGGAGGGGGGATAAATGCCTGGGTGGTGTCGTCTTCCTGTCTGTACTGTGTAAATCTCAGTTCTGAATGGATGGAAATGTAAATCCTTAGGCGGGTAAAACAACTATGTTATATATGTTTCATCTCTGTATTGCAATGTTTGTTTGTCCACGTTTCCTTATAATGCACGTTTTGAATTGATTCTGTGATTGCATATGTCTTTTCTTGTGTTCTATTCCCAGTTCCCAGAACAGTGTGGCCAGATGAGGTTATGGGGCCTTTTGGTCCACAGGATCAGCGCTTTCAACTCCCTGGCAATGTTGGATTTGATGCTCATGTAAATGGAATGAACACAGAGAGCAAAGTCCAAGTTCCAAGAAACTTACCTGACCTCCTATCTGAGCCAGCTGCTAGTGAGAGACACGAGTTTGTCATGGCGCAGTTTGTCAATGAATTCCAGGTAGGACATGATATCCGGCAAACAATGTGTAGTGATCTATATGATAGGTAGTGTGTGTGTCTCTTATTGTTATATTTAGCTTGCGTGATTTGGCAGGACACATTTTTCCTTTCTCCTGTTGTCCTTTGAGAGCTGTGTTGTGATCAGCGGCCGACATCCATTGTTTAGGGCAAAGGAAAGTGATAGAATGTCCTGTTAAAGTTGGCTTTGGCAAAGCGATGATTTCCTTTAAGAGTATGTCAACTCTAATATTAAACTCCTCTTTTTTTTTTAGTTTTCTTTTGGTCTGTTAAATGCACCATTTAAACTGTGTTGTGATTCAAAAAAAAGAATGTAAAAACCAATCCTGCCATAAAACTTGAGTTAATTTCCTTTTGCATATGCTAACTGTTAGGGCTCATGTACACAGGACGTTTGGAAACACTTCTGAAGGATGGAAACTGACTGCTGAAAAATGTAGGTTAAAAAATGTCAGTTTTAGCTGCGTTTGCATACTGCGTTTATGCGCGTTTGCGTTTAGAAGTGTTTTTAAAAGATAACCTCAGGAGACCTTCCAAAATGCCCAGAATGCACTGAAAAACAGTCAAAAATTTACTTTTTCAGACATTTTGAGAGAAATAGAGAGAGCAGTATGTGTTGAGATGACCTGTCTTTTCTGGTTGTATTCACTATGGATCCCATCATGAGCATAATGCGGCACGTTCTACCATTTTTTTTCCTTCACGTAAAACCTGGAACTGACTGCACTGGTGTACCGGGTCCATTTGAATACATGGAAAACGCTTTGCATGCATTTCGGATGATGAAAAAAGGCTCCGGACAGCATTTGGATATGGAACAGTTAAAAAAACGCTTCTAAACGCTACACGCGTTTGGTGTTTGAAACGCAGATAAAATCTCCTGAACGCAAGTTTGGTGCGTTAAAAAAAATGACTGTAAACTCAACTGCCTGTAAATGACACAGTGTACATGGACACATAGGAAAACATTAGGGAGAGGTCAGGGCTGCTGAAAAAAATGCAGAAAAGCTCCTGAACGTCAGTTTATCAGCTGAAGTGTACATGAGCCCTTATGAGTTAGCATTCTTCCTTCTAGTTCTCTTTGTGGACTACAAGACACCTCCACAATAAGATATAAAGAGGAGAAAGTGTTCTTTAGCATTAACACTTCTTGGCTTAGGTTGACAACACTGCTTTATCAAAGATCCAGAATGGTAAGTAAGGCTGGCCATAGAATGATCCCTTCTTTTTCTTGTCCAATCTGTATAAGCCTCGTAGAAAGCCATGTTCACGTGCATGGGGATGCAGGCAGTTCTATTGATTTCTGTTAGAATGCAGTGGCTGCACACATACAGACGCTGCCCGTAATGTGACATTTGTGAGAGTTTGGGCATGGGTACACAGGTCCAAATGTACTCGGGTGCATTCGGGGCTATGCACTCGCACATTTGTCAGATTGGTGTGTGTGTCCACTGCATCCTAATTGATATCAATGGAATTGCCTGCACGGAGATGAGCAGAACACCTGTGTATCCCCATGCAGGTAAATATTGTCCTCCACAAGTGTACACTTTTTTGTACATCCTGTGTGAATCAGACCTAACTGAATCTTACCACTAGTCCAGTTGCATCGACAACTCCAGGTCAGTCGTGTTTACTTGTCTTATCAGTCTCTAAAACTGATCCCCTTGTTGCTCCCTTTTGCAGCTCATCTGACTTTTCCTCTTCCCATCCCTGCAAGCCTTCAGCTGCTGCAGGTGGGATCTACAGGGGGATCAGTTCCAGTGATTGCCCCCAGCCACACCAATTGCTCTTCCTGTCCAGGATCTGACTCCCTTTCCCACAGCTCCAAACCCCCCTACATTAAAAAAAAAATTGCAATAACATTTTAAAAAATTTGCACCACACACCTGCCAAATTGGCTGTGTTCCTTCAGCTGCTGTGTCCACATAGCATAACGTAGACTGCCTGTACAACAGCTCCAGCCACATAGACAAACTACTGATTTACACAGCACAGGCCACTGTGTCCACCTGAATGAGTCTCAAGACCTCACACAGAGCTTTATTTATTAAAGGATAATGCAGGCCGTAGACGGGTCGAAAACCGGCCAATTAATTTAAAAAAAAAAAAAAAAAACGGAAAATCAGTCGTTCAATAGGCCAACGTTACCACCAACTGTAAAAACAAATCAGCAGATTTTCGTCCCGTCTACGGCCGGCATTTAATTACTTCTGTCCCTTGCAGAGAGCTCCGCTATTATATTTGACATGAAAAAGCATAGCGGTTGCAACAATGTATCTATTTGTATGCATTTCGGACACGTTTTTATTTGGATACAAATGGATACATTGTTGCAACCACAAGACTTTTCATATAAAATATAATAGCGGACTGAATTCTTCTTCCTTTTCTTCTTTTTCTTTTTCTTCTTCTTACAGGTCACGGCTCATGCGCAGATTTTTTATTGGTAAAACGATCGGCCAATTTGCCCATCCTCGTCGGGAAAATTGGCCGATCGGCAAAATTGGCCAATTTTTTTTTCAACTTTACCGATAAAAAAAAATGTGCCAAAACCCTGCAAAAACGGCTGACCAATTAACCATTAGCGGTGCGAAAATCGACCCATTTTGGTTTTTTGTGGGGCTTTTTTTTTTTTTTTTTTTCCTGTCCGAAAATCGGCCGATTTTCGACCCGTCTATGGCCTGCATTACTTCACCTTTGGGAACATGTTCAGCCTCTTTTTAGAGTGGAATATGCAACATGTTTCCACTCCTGCGGCCACAGCCCACTCCGCGCTGCATCTAGTGACAGCTAGTGGAGGATCTTCCCCCGCTAGCTGGCACTATTTCAAAAAAATGGAAAAACCGCGGCTGTGTGGGGCTCCAGCCATGCCATTCATTCAGGTTCTGTGAAAGGGGAATCTACAAGTCCTGACCGCCTTTGCAATCAAGCGATATATCTATAATGGAGAAAAGCCCCAGACATCCACATTGAAAACAAATGCCCAGCCTGAGAACGCACCTCAGACTCCCAAAAAACCTACCAGCAGGTGTTTCCTCACTTAGTGCCACGCAAATAGAAAGAGAATGTTCACCACATAAGACGTCTGCCTAGTCCCTAAGCACTTTATTGCTGATGGCATAAAATCTGAAAAGCTTATGAGTATAACGGAAGCGCAAAAATGCAGCTAGAACAACCAGACCTTTCTTTTGTTGTCTGACACTACAAGATTGATAGGTTGGACTTGTAATCTGTTCTCCCTTTTCCTTTAGGGAAGTGATGTTTCTCTGCAGCAGCAAGAAGTATGCAGTGCGGGATCATACTTTGAGAATGCAAAAGTAGAGTGTGCCATGCAGAGATGTCCAGAACTGCTGAGAAAAGGTACCACTAGGCTGAGAGGCGGCTGCTTTCACCCTGTCACAGAATGTTCTCTTCTTGTACAGATATCCAGATGTCCAAACAAAAAGGAAAAATTAGGCTCCATGCACACTGGCTTACAAAAACACCAGTGCTCTTGGCAGAAAAAAACACTAATTTTGAGCGGTTTTTTTTTTTTTTTTTTGTACTAGCATTCAAGTGGTTAGCTTTTTTTTTCTGACAGAAAAACACTGTCAAAGCAAAACGGAAGGGTTTTTTTCTACTTCTAAATGCTGAGTTTAAAATATAAATCCAATATCCGCGCTTATGGACCAATACCTAAACTACAAAGTAGCCACCCAACACCTCTTTATATCCAACAAGACATAAATGTGAATACAATATATATGCCAAGCTAAGATTGGTTCCATTTGTGCACAGTAATTAGAGTTTGAATTTGGCACACAGTTGTAGTAAATTTGATGCAGAAACTGCTACAAATTGCCAATATGTCACAAATAGCAACATTTCACTTTCCGGCACAGCCGCAATATCTGCACATGTAGAATTGTGCAGCAGCATCATAGGTTACTGCCAGTCTGCCCACGTTTCCTGCACAGCGTTCTGGTGCAGATACAATGATAAATTCACCTCTGAATATTCAGATTCTTGCAAAAGTCCATTTGGTTTTGGTTCTCTTGATTTCTTGAGGTCCCTTAATCCGTTTCAGGGCTCGTTCACACCACTACCTTGTGCTAATGCACACATTACTGCAACACAAGAATCTGCACCAAGTCCCATGCATTGCAGTGATTTTTGAATGGTACCCTGATGCATCTATAGCCCAGATCTCTGTTGTAGTGCTCCTCAACAATGTATGTTGCAGTACAAAATAGGAGTAATTTCCTTTGAATCGGGACCAATTCAAAATGAACAGGATGCAGTAGTGCAGCATGTTGCAACACGTGTTAAAACAAGCTGCAGCGTGTGTTCCCGCAGGTCTACATGGTGTAAATGGACGCTCACTGGCTAGTATTTTTTATAAATTCTGAATGCTGGCCCAGTCCTGAGTATTTTTAGATGAAATAATTTTTAATTTAATTTATTGCAGATGTTGTATCCATGTTTCCTGAGATCCCTGATAACCACGTACTAGTACTAACTGTGACACAGAAAACTATGAATGATATGACCATGTGGAGCGAAGAGGTGGAGAGCGAGAGAGAAGTGCTGCTGGAGAAGGTTGGTGACTCTTTGTGGCCTAGCATCTAATTTTGGTGATAATCTGCAGAAGTCAGTCGTTGCTTTCTTATGCCAGTGGCACCATCCATTTGCTTGGGTTTTTACCACTTGGTTGGAAAGATTCCAACTCACTTCGTTTTGCATGGATTTAAAGCTCAATTCCAGACTACACTTATAAGCAGTTACTGTATATCAGTTCACATGTTCCTACTGCTGCAGCTGCGGCCCTCTCTCCCTATGACAGCAGCGTGGGGAGAAGTTTCCTATACCAGCTGTTTTTGAAAGCCGCACAGGCCTACGGGGCCGCGTCATTCATTCACAGAGTTCTGTGAAGGAATGATCTACAAGTACCAACTTTGCAGATGTTTGCTTGTAGTTTCCAATGAACCACCACTGCGCTATCGAGCGCTCTAGGTAGTTCATTGATTCTTCCTGTAAGAGTGTATCTGCTTGCCCATACGAGCACACAGATGCATTGAAAGTCTGTAGGAGACCTGCATGGCACCAGCTGCATCTGCTGATCGCTGGTGCAATGTTTTACAGGCTCCAAAAAAAATGGTAAATGCACTTTTTTTTTTTTTTTCTATCTGCGAAAAAAATGGGCATTTATTTATTTTTAAATGAACTTATCCTTTAAAGTGGTTGTAAACCTTAAGCATGAAAAATGAACAATGCATATCCTTCTATAGTGTGTACTTACCTCAATCCAGAGCACCGAATGACATTTTTCTCTGCTGTCTAGTTCCTCTGCTATCTTCATGACTCACCACTGAAAGTTATTTCTGACTCCCAATAGATGGAGAGGGGATGGGTAGGGGACCTCCAGCACACAGCCTGTGATTGCTAGCTGTAACTGCATGTTTTCCTGTGTGCTGTGTGGAGGAAAGTGTCTCCCCCCTTTTCCCCCACAGAGGGGCTCTCCTCTCTGAACTGTGCAGCATGTGATGTCACACCCCCCAGCCTGCTGAAGCTCAAACAAGCTGTGTAAATGTTCTACTTTGAACTCATGTAGAGGAGAGTTCTTTAGATAAACAGGTACAACATATGTAGGAGGATTTGTAGCATCTCTGTGTATCACCTGAGGCTTGTCACTGAGTGTATACAGTCAGGTCCATAAATATTGGGACATCGACACAATTCTAACATTTTTGGCTCTATACACCACCACAATGGATTTGAAATGAAACAAACAAGATGTGCTTTAACTGCAGACTGTCAGCTTTAATTTGAGGGTATTTACATCCAAATCGGGTGAGCGTTGTAGGAATTACAACAGTTTGCGTATGTGCCTCCCACTTGTTAAGGGACCAAAAGTAATGGGACAGAATAATAATCATAAATCAAACTTTCACTTTTTAATACTTGGTTGCAAATCCTTTGCAGTCAATTACAGCCTGAAGTCTGGAACGCATAGACCTCACCAGACGCTGGGTTTCATCCCTGGTGATGCTCTGCCAGGCCTCTAGTGCAACTGTCTTCTGTTCCTGCTTGTTCTTGGGGCATTTTCCCTTCAGTTTTGTCTTCAGCAAGTGAAATGCATGCTCAATCGGATTCAGGTCAGGTGATTGACTTGGCCACTGCATAACATTCCACTCCTTTCCCTTAAAAAACTCTTTGGTTGCTTTTGCAGTATGCTTTGGGTCATTGTCCATCTGCACTGTGAAGCGGCGTCCAATGAGTTCTGAAGCATTTGGCTGAATATGAGCAGATAATATTGCCGGAAACACTTCAGAATTCATCCTGCTGCTTTTGTCAGCAGTCACATCATCAATAAATACAAGAGAACCAGTTCCATTGGCAGCCATACATGCCCACGCCATGACACTACCACCACCATGCTTCACTGATGAGGTGGTATGCTTAGGATCATGAGCAGTTCCTTTCCTTCTCCATACTCTTCTCTTCCCATCACTCTGGTACAAGTTGATCTTGGTCTCATCTGTCCATAGGATGTTGTTCCAGAACTGTGAAGGCTTTTTTAGATGTCGTTTGGCAAACTATAATCTGGCCTTCCTGTTTTTGAGGCTCACCAATGGTTTCCATCTTGTGGTGAACCCTCTGTATTCAGTCTGGTGAAGTCTTCTCTTGATTGTTGACTTTGTCACACATACACCTACCTCCTGGAGAGTGTTCTTGATCTGGCCAACTGTTGTGAAGGGTGTTTTCTTCACCAGGGAAAGAATTCTTCGGTCATCCACCACAGTTGTTTTCCGTGGTCTTCCGGGTCTTTTGGTGTTGCTGAGCTCACCGGTGCATTCCTTCTTTTTAAGAATGTTCCAGTTGTTTTGGCCACGCCTAATGTTTTTGCTATCTCTCTGATGGGTTTGTTTTGTTTTTTCAGCCTAATGATGGCTTGCTTCACTGATAGTGACAGCTCTTTGGATCTCATCTTGAGAGTTGACAGCAACAGATTCCAAATGCAAATAGCACACTTGAAATGAACTCTGGACCTTTTATCTACTCATTGTAATTGGGATAATGGGGGAATAACACACACCTGGCCATGGAACAGCTGAGAAGCCAATTGTCCCATTACTTTTGGTCCCTTAACAAGTGGGAGGCACATATGCAAACTGTTGTAATTCCTACACCGTTCACCTGATTTGGATGTAAATACCCTCAAATTAAAGCTGACAGTCTGCAGTTAAAGCACATCTTGTTCGTTTCATTTCAAATCCATTGTGGTGGTGTATAGAGCCAAAAATGTTAGAATTGTGTCGATGTCCCAATATTTATGGACCTGACTGTATATAAGGGTTTACAATGGCTTTAAGGGTTTTTTCTTTTCTTTTAAGACTCTCTCCTAATTGCCCTTTAAGTGGGCTTTAATGCATAGGGGAACAACAAGGCTTCTGTATCATGTGGACCGCTGTGATTGGCTTTCAAAACGGTCACATGGTTGGCAACCCTCCCTGCTAGCTCCCAATGAAAAGCCTTGTTATCAGTCAATGTACTGTGAGCACATTTTTGGCACACAACCTCTATCTGCCTATATGCGGCATGTGGGCATTAAAGCCGATCTTTCTTGCCACCACATATATGCATTACATAGTTGGCAAGAGATTTTTTCTTCATTTTAATAAGGAAAGATAATGTCCAATACCTCAAGATGTCAGCTATTACTTTTTATTAGCTGGGTGAGCACATGCTGTGCCCCTCTCTGATTTAGTTTCCCTTTCTTACTGAGGTTTTGTTTTTGTTTGTTTTCTTTTTCTTTTGGTCTTCATGACTAGCTTCCATCAACTGATGTTCCACCGATCATCTGAATATTTATATAATGATTTTTTTTTATTATTTTTTTTAAGCAGAGTTTTGTGCAGCCTTTCTCAACCGTTTTACCCCAGAAAAACACTTGTAATAATTTTCAGGTCTCAGGAAACCCTTGCTAAAATTCATTAAATTATGGATCAGTGGGAAGATTGTCCCCTTCATTGATGGCCAGAGAACTCCCCCTCCCCCCCCCCCCCCCCCCCCCCCCCTTTTTACTGTAGTGGCCAGAATGCCACCCTTACAGAAAGCTTTAAAGGTCATAGGTGTAATGCCACTGGCTGTACCAAGTGGTGTTTGATTAAAAATTGTGCATACACCATCACATAGGAGGTCAATCAGCCACAGCTGAAGGAACCCCTTGCAACCTCTGGGGCAGGTGTGGGCAACTGTGGCCCTCCAGCTGTTGTAGAACTATAAGTCCCATGAGGCATTGCAAAACTGACCGTTAAAAGCATCTCAAAGGCAGAGGCATGATGGGACTTGTAGTTCACCAACAGCTGGAGGGCCACAGTTGCCCGCCCCTGCCCTAGGGTTTCAGGGAACCCTGCTTGAGAATGGGTGGTTTAGTGTCACTTTTAAGTAAAATATAGAGTGGCATTCTTATTTTTCTCCACATGGTGTCACTGTTTTTCTGTAGAAAGACTACATCTGATTAGCAGTAATTTGTCCATGTGATATGAGTGTTTTGTTTGTATTTAAAAACTACTTTTCCTCAGCACTGCCCCCACCACCCCTACAATAGCCAATAAAAGGATGCTAGCCACACACCCTTGGTGTTTTTTTTTCCTTGGTCCTCGCTCCAGGACACACCAGTTAAATATTAAAAGGCCTTCCCTACCTTTTCCCACCAAGCTTCAGCTTCTACTGCCAGTGAAACAACCTTGTATTGAAGGTAAACCCTTCAGATCAAGGGAACCTATGCTGCCAGGTCTCTATAGCTATATGCTGAAACACAGAATACCTTAAGTTACTGCAGGTCTGTGGGAGTGCCGCCAGTGGGACTGATCTTCCTGCCACGTGAAAAATAAGGGGTCTTGTAAAAGTGTAGAAGGGACAGTCACTGTGAACTCACTTCCTATTGACTCCCTTCCTATTGACCTAGGCATGCCCTCAGAATTACCTAACCCAAGAGTTGTACTCGCCTTGGGGGACACCCATGTTGAGAGCCAGAAGGCATGGATTAATCAAGATTCAAATCCAATGCTGTATTAGAATTGCCAACACATAAGACAACACCCTCAAGTTTCAGTGCCAGTCTACAGAACATGTCTGGGGAAAAAAAAGGAAGAGTGACCATTGTTGGGGACTTAGTAGGAAATCAAAGTATACAAATGAGTACCTATATGGCCTTTCAGCAAAATGTAATGGCCCTCTCCCACCATATATCAAGTAGATCCATAGAGTGCAGGAGTCTGACTATAGTCGTACTGGCCTTGGGTGGGGGGGCCACCTAAGATTTGAGCCAGAAGGTTTAATACCCCCAGAGTCTTTTCCCTACACACAGTATGTGTGAGAAGACTCTCTGGAGTCAAGGCAACATCACTGTTTTTCTGAGAAAGAAATCAATCTATGCATGTGGGGAAGCAAAGAGTGGGCTGATGGATAGGCAGAGTGCTATACTCCAGCAGATAGGGTTGACATCACTGGCTGGGATTTTATTGCAGAAAAAGCACTACACTGTCAGCCCAAACAATGTTAGGACACTGGATTTCTGGGAGAGATGTAATACT